AAAAAGTAAAACAGCTTAGTGTACAAAATACTCAACCGCGTAAAATTTTCATATTGCATGTTTGTTATTTCCTTAAAAATTGAAAATATTTTGTAAATCTGTACACTCTCGCGTTTAAGCTATTTTTTATATTCCAGCCCTTCTAGGATTACTCAAATTAATTCAGTGAGCCGTAAAATGTTTGCAGCATATGCTTCACTTTAGAGTCCTAACTGTTAATTTTCCATTTCCACTAAAATCACGCTTGTTAAGACGTTACTATTCCCTATTCTCCACTATGCTGACATCTGTTAACAAGATATTACCGAAAATTAACTTATCAAAGTTGAGCGAGTTTAAAATCTCTGTTTATGCTTCATATTTTGCCTTCGTAAATGAAACTATGTTTCACAATACCATCACTGGTATAGATATTCTCCTAAAAATGTTAAAATGAATTTGCCAGGATCCGCGTAATAAAATAAAATGACGTGTCTTACTTAGCTTGAACCACTAACCACCTTCCGCCCTACCTCAACCGCACGTACTGTCCCCGTCACCACTAATCCTAGCACTACTACTTCCAACACCACTACACAAGGAAAGACACACCACCGTCGATTATAAGACATGTGTTACGGTTAGTAGCGTGCTAAATGGAAATCTGCAGTCTCTGCCCATCCCTCTGGTTGACAGGCGTGAATGTTTATGTGTGTATGTATGTAATAAAGACACATTAATATAAACATAATATTCGAAAGAAAAATTCTATCGTAAAAAATATCTTTAGATGTATTTTAGCGAAGTTAAACCTAGATGCCGACCAAGCGTGTTACGTCTCATCTCGTTTCAAAGCAGGTTCTTCACTCAGTCGAGTGCAGCTTAAGCCTTAAGATCTGCACTTCAACATTTTAAGGCGTCCTTTTAAGATATTTGTTTGCTTCGTATTGAGCCTTTTTGACGTCCAACCGTATTTGAAGAGATATTTCATAGAAATCGTGATATTTATATATTATTATAAGGAGCCTATTTAGTAAACTTCAAGTATTGTTCTGCTTAATGTACACTAAATATAAAACTATAACTTGATCTATTTGTTCTTATTAAATTAAAGAATACTTCAAAAGTTTCGAAAACATGTCAAGTTCTTTTACATGCAGCATGGGGATGCATGGGGCAGCGAGCCTGATGCTTCCTTACATTAAACCCTCTCAAAATGAGGGAAGGCCGAGCTTAGCTTTGGGACGTAAATAGTCTGTAACTTTATTTTATGCAGATTGTCATCCTTGAGGACTAATATGTAATACCTCATTACCAGTGAAAAGGGTCTCTTGTTCTCGTCAAACACACTTCGAAACAGAAAAAAATGCTGGCAATTGTCGCTGATATTCTGTGTGCGAGTAGACTTTCCCTTGTCTAGTCGACCCATACGTGCTGCAGCCGTAACACGTTGCGCCGTGGTTCTAGAATTCCAATTTTTTTTAAATCGATTCTAAATTCAATTTTCTTAATCAAACTTTACTATTAGCCATCAAATGGAAAGTTAATAGTGTACCGGAAGCCTAAGCACTAGCCCCGAGCCTTCGGATTAGCAGGGGTATTAAAAACGCATGCCCTTATTTAGGAACACTTAAACATAATTAAAACACATTTGCTTCTTGCAAAATAACTATTAATCATTAACTAGCTTTTTACCCGCGGCTTCGCGCGCGTGTGATTGTATTTAAAAACATCGATAATACTATTTCGTACTAAAATTAGCAAAACTGGATCACTTGTAGAAACACGTCGGTATCCGTGTCTATATTGGCAATATTATAGGCTACAGAAACACATAAGTTAATTTATCAGAATCGCATAAATATCATACGTCATGCAACACTTTTTTTATATCGGGCTTCCGATGTATCTTTTTATTTACGGAAAATTGTCCTGGAATCGGAAATGCGTTATTTACATAATATTCATTATTAAAGTTGATATAGTCTTGATGAAATAAGGTTTAATTTCATGGTCTTTATTAATATTGCTCCCATTGAATATTGATTAGCACCACATGCCAATATTTTTTACATTCGATTAGACTTCAAAATTTCATAAATGTAGTTCTATTCACGGAGAACGTGTGAGAAGAACTAAATTCATGAAACGGAGCAGAAATCTACATAAGATGGGCAGCAGCGTCTTCCTGACCACAGCTCAAAATATTAAAAACACGCAGTTGGCAACTCGCATGACGAGCGTGGCAACTGTGGCAAATATACAACTTTATTAACTATTGGAAATCCAATTGATGAACGGGAGTAGAAATAATACATTAGCCATGTACAGGTGGCGAAAAAGAAATCACTATCCCATTTCATCCCGTGGGTGTCTTAAGAGGTGACAGAGGAAATTGAACAAGAAGATGGGTAGCATCTTCTTGATAACAGCGCAAAGTAATAAAGAGCTGCGGTTGCCAAACCGCTTGCCAAGCGTGAATACTACTGCGAATTATACCCGGTCTATTTGTCATACAATGGGGAAAACCTATGATCAGCAGTGGAAAGCCCTATTAAAAGTAAAAAAGTAAATAAAGCCTAAATACATCCCACTACTGGGCACAGGCCACAGCGAGTTTTGGTCAAAAAGGAGCTGGTTAAGTTGAATCCAACGCTGGATGACCGACTTCACATACCTATACCTAAAAATGATTTCCGAAATATTTTTCAACATCTCAGATATGCAGATTTCCCGCGATGTTTTTCTTCACCGCCGAGAACGTGGTAAATCGAAACTTTAAATTGCAGATAAAATATGAGTGGAGTCAGCGCGGATCTAATTTGAGTTGCTTATGTACCAACTAAGAAATTTACGTTTAGATCGGTTTGATTACAGGATTACATATGACTTTCAAGGTTCTATCAGTGCAGTTCTCTCATAGTTAAAATAAAAATAAATCCGTGTTTAAAATTTGCTTTCTTCGATATTTATCTTTTTCATAAGAACCTGTTCATTTACTCATGTGAGCTATGTAACCGGGACGGTCACAAAATTTTTAATAGTTAAATCCGAAAATATGAAAGCTATCTTCATATACGACAAACTGCTTTATAAATTTCATTAAAGTAAAAAAGGCTGCATCAACGGTATCACGGACTATTCCACCAATTATAGATATAAATCTCATAGTGCATTTAATTTTCAATTTCTTATATCGGACTTGATACAAAAATAAATTGGTGAAATATTGCTATGCCGATAGACACACAACATATTCAACTAAAGACCTTCTCTCTTAATCATAGTTTTGTGTACACAGTTTTGTTAGTAATATTGCTAAAATTGACAATTATGATAAAACATGCAGACAGTGGCCACAGGTCTGCTACCGGTCTGACAATTTTTGATGCTGCAACAATAAGTATTATGTACACATATTATTTAATAGAGTTGTGTTTACTTTGACCAGTTATGTACTTATTATTAGTTTATTTATTAGTAAGTAGATGGCGCTGTTGTTATATTAAAACAATGACAACCAAAACTTTACCCTCTAGTAGGTACTCCCACTCAAGTTGAGGTGCGACTGGAGTGGCTCTATCAGCTATCACACAACAAAGTCGCTAACATTAATATAATACATACATTTGGCATAAATTCTGCTTTTATCAAATATACGCAATCAGCGCCGCTAGCGGTGTGTAATGAAATTAAATTACGATTTAACAATAACATCTAGAAATAGCAAAGTCCTGTTTAGTAGTTAATATCGCCAAACAATCTCTTCATTGATTTGGTCAAGCTAAATGATGATATAGTCAACAAACACTATTAAACTTTATGAAATACCGCCATTTCACCTTCAACAATCGATTAATTTATGATATTATAAATTCTTAGATCTGACCAATACATACATAAAACTCTTTTTATTTAAACTATAAGGATAATAAGAGTTTTGTACATACTAATTGCAGTTATTATTAGTTTATTTATAGATAAAAAAAATTTAAAAATTTTTACACATTAGAAATTAAACTTGGAAACATCCATAATTTTATGATTTTCGATATAAGATGTCATATTAAAACACTATACTATCTATTTAAGTAGTATTTAGTTACGATAGAGTTTTCAAATCAATTATAAATTTAATTAAATAACTTTATAATGGCAAATAAGGCAAAATGTCATTAGGGTATTTTAAACTTCTGATGACGAAAACAAAAAAAATCATTTAGATGAATTTTACATGAAATACCTATAAATATCAATAATTTAGGTCATAATCTACTATAAAAAAATATGCACCGAGCTTACGACTTTTTAGTTTCACTAGAAATACCTTTTAAAATCTCGCACTTCCATGGTAATGACACTGGATCCAGGGAAATGACTTTCATACAATTTCTTTTACCATGGAAAAGACTTCACACCATAGATATGACATTCCATATATGCTTTATAAAAGATGAAGTCACAAATTATATTATCCAAAGAAATTTGATACACAATGATAAATATATTGGATTTATTTTAATCAAAACAAGCAAAAGTTCGAAAAATCAGCTTTAATTGCTTTGAATTTGACTTTAAAGCTATTTATACAGGGGTATTTTTAATTTAGTGTGGACAATTGGGGATGATAGATACTACCCGTCTATACGAACAACTTTGATTGTGAGATCAATTTCGAAATCGCGTAAAAAATATCTGCTGCTCCATACATTTGGGTCAAGTAGATAGAAACATTATCTATGAAATTAACACTTAGTTCCATAGTGAAAGTTTTATGTACTGATCCAGTCCAAACTAAATTACATATAACCCTGTATATTTTTTAATCGTAATTGCTAAAGAGATCAAAAACATTACACTTATGGCACCATCTAATTTCAGCCCCAGTAATAGCTTAACATTATAATAAAAATAAAGTTTAAATAAAATGATAATCAGAAAATATTGAAGTCTTCACTCTCACTGTCAAGTATCTCATCCTCGTGTTCTTCCGCCTTACTATTCGGTTCCCAATCCTCCAGTTATTCGGTCTCACTATCGCGTTTCCTATCCTCCAGTTCTTCAGTCTCGCTATCCAGTTCATTATCCTTCTGTTCTTCAGTCTCACTATCAAGTTCCTCCTTCTCCTGTTCTTCACTCTCACTGTCAAGTACCTCATCCTCGTGTTCTTCCGCCTTACTATTCGGTTCCCAATCCTCCTGTTCTTCGGCCTTACTATTCTGTTCCCTATCCTCCAGTTCTTCACTCTCACTGTCCAGTTCATTATCCTCCTGTTCTTCAGTCTCACTAGCCAGTTCTTCCTCCTCCTGTTCTTCGCTATCTCTCTCATCTGTTTCTTCCCGCCGATCTAAGTTTTCCTCGTTTACTTCAACCGGCGGCGTTTCAGTTTCCGATTCCAGTTCAAGACTTTCAAAAATATGCAATGGGTTACAAAATTCCACATAACTGTCGGGCAACGAGTAGTGTAGACACCGTTTTCCGGAGGCACATGTCAGGCATGTTAATTTTCGTAAAAATATTTTTTGCGCCATGTGCGAGTTCCATGTCATTTGATGAACTTTTGTGATTCCAGGAACACTATTGATTTTTCGTTGCAATAGCTTATTAAGTTCTTCAATTTGTTTCGTAGTTACGGTTGAAAGAAGACATTGGTAGTGTTTTTCTAATACACCTTATAAGTGTATTGAAATCAGGTATATCTGGCTCAGGTATATCAGGTATGACTGGCTGTTACTCAAGGCTGATAAGCAGACGGACGGGTGGTTCCTCGTTGTTTCGGTGCCGGAGGATCATATCCCGACCCTGATGAAGGCCGGACGCCGTCTCGCATGTGCATGGTAAATTCTTTGACACTCCACCAAGCAAAGAGGTAGAAACAACCCGGAAGTTATGGATACCGGAGCCACGGTTACTGGTACAGCGGAATCACTGGAGGCCAAGTCCAGTGAAAAAACGGCCTGCACAACTGAGCCGAAGCCCCCAGTGGAGATCGGGTTCAGCGGCAGCTCACTGAGTGACGAAGAGGACTGCATTTTGCCGACCACTTCCGACTCGGTGGCTGACGAAGAGACCCGAGATCTTCTGGCAGGCCTATTTTTGGGCGGGGACGGGGAGGACGCGATCAATGATGGCGTGACCTTCGTCCAAAACTAGCCTAGTGTAGGCCAACCTCCACCACAGCGAAACTGCGTCGGCTCAATTACGCAAGTGGTTGGAGGTTCAAAGGACTGCCATAGCCTTAATCCAGGAGCCGTGGGTTGGGGCTGGTAAAATTAAAGGCCTAAACAACCTAAAAGGTAAGCTATTCTACAGCTCTGAACACGACAAGCCTAGAGCGTGTATCTACACTACTAAAGATATCTGTGCACAACCATTAACAGATTTCTGTTCTAGAGACATGTATGCCGTGGCAATACAATACACACAGGAGAGAAGATTAGTCGTCGCCTCGGTCTACATGCCGGAGGAAGACACTCCTCCCCCCTCATGACCTCGGCAGGCTGGTGAACTTCTGCGAGAGGACCGGACTAGAGGTTGTGATCGGGACGGACTCCAACGCGCATCATCCCCTTTGGGGAATGGAAAAACCAAATGAACGAGGTAAGGTTTTTGTTGAATATTTATTTAGCAATAACCTAACCATTTTAAACATAGGTTCTGAACCTACTTTCATAAACAAACACTGTCGCACTATAATCGACCTCACACTTGCAACAGAGGGAGCAGCCAAACTAATTACGGGATGGCATGTGTCGAAAGAGGCCTCATGCTCAGACCATAGATGGATCTGCTTCGCACTACAGGTCGATATCCCCTCTACACCACCATGGAGAAATCCCCGCAAGACGGATAAAACAAAATACCTAAATAGGCTGACGTCTTCACTCGCGGGTTCTGGGGGGATAAATACTATAGCAGATCAGTCGCTCCTAGAAGAACAGGTAGCAGCTGTTACTAAGGCCATGATAGATAGCTACCATGAATCATGTCCAGAAAGCACTCCACCAAGGCATGCCGAGGTAAAGCAACAGTGGTGGGGTGAAGAACTCGATAGGAAACGTAAGAAGGTAAGAAAAGCCCTAAATAGGGCCATGAATACCTCAATGGATGAAGACTGGCTACTATATAAGAAAGCTAAGTCTGAATACAAAAAATGTATCAGGTATCGACGCTCGACTGGGTGGCGTAAATTCTGTGGCAACATAGAAACCAAGACATAGAAGCAAATAGGATAAGGAATATTCTAGCTAAACAGAACACGTCGGGATCCATGTCTCTAAAGAAACCCGACGGTAGCTACTCAACATCGCCGGATGAAGCCCAACGCATCCTAATTAAAACGCACTTACCAAGTAACCAGTAACCCAGGAGGCAAACGACATGGCATGACGACATACTGACACCAACAGTAGAAGACTGGAATTTAGCACAGAGAGTGGTAACGATGGACAAAATCCGTTGGGCCATTCACAGTTTCCTCCCCTATAAGGCGGCAGGACTTATATACTTGCATATCTACTTGTTTATATACTTACTGTATACTTGCTTATATACTTGCTTATACACTTGCTTATAAACTTGCTTATTTACTTGCTTATATACTTGCTTATAAACTTGCTTATATACTTGCTTATATACTTGCGTATATATATACTCGCTTATATACTTGCTTGTACACTATCTTATATATTTGCTAATATACTTGCTTATTTACTTGCTTATATACTTATCTTGCTTATATACTTGCTTATACACTTGCTTATATACTTGCCCATATACATGTTTATATACTCGCTTATATACTTGCTTATATACTTGCTAATATACTTGCTTATATACTTTTCTATATACTTACATATATACTTGCATATATACTTGATTATATACTTTCTTATATACTTGCTTATATACTTGCTTATTTACTTGCTTATATACTTGCTTATATACTTTTCTATATACTTGCATATATACTTGCATATATACTTGCTTATATACTTTCTTATATACTTGTATTATATACTTGCTTATACACTTGCTTATATACTTGCTTATATACTTGCTTATTTACTTGCTTATATACTTGCTTATATACTTGCTTATATACTTGCATATATACTTGATTATATACTTGCTTATATACTTTCTTATATAATTGCTTATATACTTGCTTATATACTTGCTTATATACTTGCTTATATAACTGCTTATAAACGTGCTTATATACTTGCTTATATACTTACTTATATACTTGCTTATATACTTGGATATATACTTGCTTATATACTTGCTTATATACTTGCATATATACTTGCTTATTTACTTGCTTATATACTTGCTTATATACTTGCTTATATACTTACTTATATACTTGCTCATATACATGCTTATATACTTGCTTATATACTTGCTCATATACATGCTTATATACTTGCTTATATACTTGCTTATATACTTGCATATATACTTGCTTATATACTTGTTTATTTCCTTGCTTACATACTTGCTCCTTTACTTGCTCAAATCAAAATCAAATCAAAACAACCCTCATGCTGTTAAAGAAAGTACTTTCCAACATGAAATTCGAGTGAACGTTTGGGCTGTAATAAAAGACGATATTTTAACTGGCCGATAATTTTACCAGAAACTATGAACGGAACAAGATTTTTAGAGTTTTTGCAAACACAGTTTTTGGAAGAATTAATGGAGCTTCCATTAACTCACAGAGCAACGATGCTTGTCCAACTTGACGGTGCACCTGCATTTTGCAGTAAATGTGCGAAATTATTTAAATGAGCGCTATTCGCCGTGAATTGGTCGCGGTGGAAGGATCGCTTGGCCTCCGCGTTCACCGGATTTAACTCCCTTAGACTTTTTTCTATGGGGCACTATGAAGCAAAGAGTTTATGCGAACGTGCCAAACTCACGAGAAAAGTTGATTAATAAAATAATCGAAGTTGGAAATGAATTGCGACAAGATCGGGAGATGATCAGACATGCAACTCAACATGTGGCAATAAGGGCTACAACATCAACCACACAATAACTCCAACATCGCGGAGGTCATTTCGAACAGTTTTTAGAAATAACTTTTTTAGTTACGTGGATCTCGAAATATTGTGTTTCACTCTTCTCATCAATTCACTTTGTCTGTCGGCAACCAGGGCGACAAATTTTTCAAAGGTCATATTCAAACAGTCATAATACTGTTTTTTTTTTTGGTTACAATTAAGATTTTTATGTTTTTGATTAGTATATGATCTGATCTATCTCAAGCAAGTATATAAGCAATAATATAAGCAAGTATATAAGCAAGTGTATAAGCAAGTACATAAGCAAGTATATAAGCAAGTATATAAGCAAGTATATAACGAAGTATATACAAGTACAAGTATATAAGCAAGTATATAAGTAAGTATATAAACAAGTACATAATAAAGTATATAACGCAAGTATATAAGCAAGTATATAAGCAAGTAATAAGCAATTATACAAGCATGTATATAAGCAAGTACATAGCAAGTATATAAGCAAGTAATTAAGCAAGTATATAAACAAGTAAATAAGCAAGTATATAAGCAAATATATAAGCAAGTATATAAGCAAGTTTATAGGCAAGTATATATGCAGTATATAAACAAGTATATAAGCAAGTATATAAGCGAGTATATAAGCAAGTATATAAGCAAGTATATAGGCAAGTATATATGCAATTATATAAGCAAGTATATACAGGTATATAAGCAAGTATATAAGCAGGTATATAAGCAAGTATATAAGCAAGTATATAAGCATGTATATATGCAAGTATATAGAAAAGTATACTAAGCAAGTATATAATATAAAGTATGTATGCAAGTATATAGAAAAGTATATAAGCAAGTATATAAGCAAGTATACAAGCTAGTAAATAAGCAAGTATATAAGCAAGTATATAAGTAAGTATATAAGCAAGTATATAGCAAGTATATAAGCAAGTATATAGGCAAGTATATAAGCAAGTTAATATGCAAGTATATAGAAAAGTATATAAGCAAGCATATAAGCAAGTATATAAGCAAGTATGTAAGCAAGTATATAAGCAAGTATATAAGCATGTATATATGCAAGTATATAAGCAAGTATATAAGCAAGTATATAAGCAAGTATATAAGCAAGTATATAAACAAGTACATAAGCAAGTATATTAGCAAGTTTATAAGTAAGTATATAAGCAAGTATATAAGCAAGTATATAAGCATGTATATATGCAAGTATATAGAAAAGTATATAAGCAAGTATATAATATAAAGTATGTATGCAAGTATATAAGCAAGTATATAAGCAAGTGTACAAGCTAGAAAATAAGTAAGTATATAAGCAAGTATATCAGCAAGTATATAAGCAAGTATAAAAGCAAGTATATAAGCAAGTATATAAGAAAGTATATAAGCAAGTATATAAGCAAGTATATAAGCAAGTATATAAGCAAAAATATAAGCGTGTATTTGAGCAAGTAAATGAGCAAGTGTGTAAGCAAGGAAATAAGCAAGTA